CACAGCAGCTCCAACCACAACAACAGCTGCTCCAACTACAACCACAGCAGCTCCGACCACAACAACAGCTGCTCCAACTACAACAACAGCAGCTCCAACCACAACCACAGCTGCTCCAACTACAACCACAGCAACTCCAACACAACAGCAGCTCCTACCACAACCACAGCAGCTCCTACCACAACTACAGAAGCTCCAACCACAACCACAGCAGCTCCTACCACAACCACAGCAGCTCCTACCACAACCACAGCTGCTCCAACCACAACCACAGCAACTCCTACCACAACCACAGCTGCTCCAACCACAACCACAGCAGCTCCTACCACAACTACAGAAGCTCCAACCACAACTACAGAAGCTCCAACCACAACCACAGCTGCTCCAACCACAACCACTTCTGCTCCTACCACAACTACTGAAGCTCCAACCACAACCACAGCGGCTCCTACGACAACTACAGCAGCTCCAACCACAACCACTGATGCTCCTACCACAAATACACCTGCTCCTACCACAACTACAGCAGCTCCAACCACAACAACAGCTGCTCCAACTACAACAACAGCAACTCAAACCCCAACCACGGGTGATCCAACCATAACCACAGCTGCTCCAACCACAACCACTGCAGCTCCAACTACAACCACAGCAACTCCAACCACAACAACAGCAGCTCCAACCACAAACACAGAAGCTCCTACCACAACTACAGAAGCTCCAACCACAACCACAGCTGCTCCAACCACAACCACTGATGCTCCTATCACAACCACAGTTGCTCCTACCACAACAACAGCTTCTCCAACCACAACAACTGCTGCTCCAACCACAACCACAGCTGCTCCAACCACAACCACAGCTTCTCCAACCACAACAACAGCTTCTCCAACCACAACCACAGCAGCTCCAACCACAACCACAGCTTCTCCAACCACAACAACAGCTTCTCCAACCACAACAACTGCTGCTCCAACTACAACCACAGCTTCTCCAACCACAACCACAGCAGCTCCAACAACAACCACAGCTTCTCCAACCACAACAACAGCTGCTCCAACTACAACCACAGCAGCTCCAACCACAACAACAGCTGCTCCAACCACAACCACAGCAGCTCCAACCACAACCACAGCTTCTCCAACCACAACTGCTGCTCCAACTACAACCACAGCAGCTCCAACCACAACCACAGCTGCTCCAACCACAACCACTGCTGCTCCTACCACAACAACAGCTTCTCCAACCACAACAACTGCTGCTCCAACTACAACCACAGATGCTCCAACCACAACAACTGCTACTCCAAGTACAACCACAGCAGCTCCAACCACAACCACAGATGCTCCAACGACAACCACAGCAGCTCCAACCACAACCACAGTTTCTCCAACCACAACAACAGCTGCTCCAACTACAACAACAGCAGCTCCAACCACAACCACAGCTGCTACAACCACAACCACAGCTGCTCCAACCACAACCACAGCAGCTCCAACTACAACCACAGCAACTCCAACCACAACATCTCCAACTACAACCACAGCTACTCCAACAACAACCACAGCAGCTCCAACCACAACTACAGCAGCCCCAACCACAACCACAGTTTCTCCAACCACAACAACAGCTGCTCCAACTACAACCACAGCAGCTCCGACCACAACAACAGCTGCTCCAACTACAACAACAGCTGCTCCAACCACAACCACAGCAGCTCCTACCACAACCACAGCTGCTCCAACTACAACCACAGCAACTCCAACCACAACAGCTGCTCCTACCACAACCACAGCAGCTCCTACCACAACCACAGCTGCTCCAACCACAACCACAGCAGCTCCAACCACAACAACTACATCTCCACCTTTAATAAGGCTGCTGATCTTCACGTCATATCAAGTTTTCAACTCAGACTTGGGAGACCCATCAACATCTGCATTCGAAAGACGTTCAGCAAACATACGGATTCATGTATGTTACTATTTTTTACTCACATAACAATTTACACTCAAACATTCTAAAAATGAATTCTACTACCTAAATTTCTACTCTACTGTATGTTCAGGAAGGATATTTTTTGTTTCTGTACATACTAAAAAGGTGAATTACGTTTTCTTCTAAATAAAAGAAAGACATCTTAATGTTATATTGATTACAAATCCTATTTCTTATCAAGAACATGCCTTATTATTCACAAGCATAAAGCATATAATCTGAGTTCTTTTCTTCTGAAGAAGTATGCAGAATGTCTATGTAAACCAATGTAACAAATGCATTAATTGTACTAATGTTTCTAGTGAGAAATATTGTGAGAAACATATTTTTAAAAATAATACACTTTTGTTTTACTCCATGTAGCTTGACCCACTGTTCAGAAGAGCTCTGCCTTCATTCCTAAGGACTGGAGCAATAAGATTCAGGTAAGTTGTTTGTGGTTTGCTCAAGAAATTACAAAATTTCTTGTGAAACACTTTTTGACATTATCTAATTCTACTACATTTACAGGGCAGGATCAATTGTCAATTTTGTGGACCTTGAATTTGAATCATCATCTACTCCTAATGATACACAAATTATAGAGGTTTTGGTGAACGATAATTCAAGCGTCACAGAATTCAACATACTACAAGAAACGGTTGCTATTAGTGACCCAGGTAAGAAGAAATAAAAATATTTCAGAAAATGTTATGATAATGTAACGAATGAGACAAAGAAAACAATAACCAGAGTCTTTCTGAAAAATAGAGCGAAACAAAATTAATGGACATCTTGTTTGAAAATTAGCCGATTAATTTGTTTTCATGTAATTATAAATACTGCTAAGAAAACTTAAAATATTGAGTGTTCAATTGTTCTTTTAAACTGTGCATTATTAATAACTATGATAAATGTCATAGGAAATGAAACCACAACAGCATCTCCAACAACAACCACAGCAACTCTAACCACAACCACAGCAGCTCCAACTACAACCACAGCAACTCCAACCACAACTACAGCTTCTCCAACCACAACTACACCAGCTCCAACCACAACCACAGCTGCTCCAACCACAACCACAGCAGCTCCAACCACAACCACAGCAGCTCCAACCACAACCACAGCAGCTCCAACCACAACAACAGCTGCTCAAACTACAACATCAGCAGCTCCAACCACAACCACAGCTGCTCCAACCACAACCACAGCTGCTCCAACCACAACCACTGCAGCTCCAACTACAACCACAGCAACTCCAACCACAACAACAGCAGCTCCAACCACAAACACAGCAGCTCCTACCACAACTACAGAAGCTCCAACCACAACCACAGCTGCTCCTACCACAACTACAGCTGCTCCTACCACAACTACAGCAGCTCCAACTACAACCACAGATGCTCCAACCACAACTACAGCTGCTCCTACCACAACCACAGCTGCTCCTACCACAACTACTGCTGCTCCTACCACAACTACAGCAGCTCCAACCACAACCACAGCTGCTCCAACCACAACTACAGCATCTCCAACCACAACTACAGCATCTCCAACCACAACAACAGCTGCTCCAACCACCACTACAGCTGCTCCAACCACAACTACAGCATCTCCAACCACAACAACAGCTGCTCCAACCACCACTACAGCTGCTCCAACCACAACTACAGCTGCTCCAACCACAACAACAACTTCTCCAACCACAACCACAGCTACTCCAGCAACAACTACTACATCTCCACCCACAACAACAGCAGCTCCAACCACAACTACAGCTGCTCCAACCACAACTACAGCTGCTCCAACCACAACTACAGCATCTCCAACCACAACAACAGCTGCTCCAACCACAACCACTGCTGCTCCAACCACAACCACTGCTGCTCCTACCACAACTACAGCTGCTCCAACCACAACAACTGCTGCTCCAACTACAACCACTGCAGCTCCTACCACAACTACAGCTGCTCCAACCACAACAACTGCTGCTCCATCCACAACCACTGCTGCTCCTACCACAACAACAGCTGCTCCAACCACAACCACTGCTGCTCCTACCACAACTACAGCTGCTCCAACCACAACAACTGCTGCTCCAACTACAACCACTGCTGCTCCTACCACAACTACAGCTGCTCCAACCACAACAACTGCTGCTCCAACTACAACCACAGCTGCTCCAACCACAACAACAGCTGCTCCAACCACAACCACTGCTGCTCCTACCACAACTACAGCTGCTCCAACCACAACAACTGCTGCTCCAACTACAACCACAGCTGCTCCAACCACAACAACAGCTGCTCCAACCACAACCACTGCAGCTCCAACCACAACTACAGCTGCTCCAACCACAACCACTGCAGCTCCAACCATAACAACAGCTGCTCCAACCACAACCACTGCAGCTCCAACCATAACTACAGCTGCTCCAACCACAACCACAGCAGCTCCAACCGATTCAACATCTGCTCCAACCACATCTCCCACCATCACCACATTTGCTCCAACCACTACCATATCAACCACAATATCTAAACCAACCTTAATGCCATCTACTCAAAACCAAACCACAGCTATTCAAACAATTCCAGCTACTGAGGCAAATACCACAACTGAACCTCCTGCTCCAGTGTTTCATGTTGGAGTGGTTGTTTTCGAACCATTTGATGAAGATCTCAAAGATGAAAAGAGCCCAAAATTTAAGAATCTTGCACAAAGGATCACAGCAGTAGTAAGTGCCATAGTAAAATGTATCATTGTGGTCATCTTATCAGACATTCAATTCAAATATTCAGTTAAACAATATTCTCATCATTTACTTAATCTTTTGTCCTACAGTTTGACATGCTCTACAAGGAAGCTTTTGGAGCCCGCTTCATCCGCAGTTATGTCATTGCATTTAGGTAAGATTCATTATTTATTTTTTTACAAATAACAAAATGGATATATGTTTTTCTGAACTTGTTTGTTTTTCATGTTTATGTTGCAGAGTTCCTTTAGCATCCCGATTTCGAATGAATGCCACTGAAGCAGAAATTGGGCTTGAGTTTAACAAAACCACACCACTTGTGGAACTCCCCAGGAACGAAGATGTACAAAAAACATTAGCAGCTGCTATAGACTCACACTCTAACAACACTATCTTGAATGTGCCATTTTCACCTGGTTCTGTCCAAGTATTACGTAAGTAAACATGGTCTAACATTCCACAGAAACAGAGCAATGTAAGTTTTTATTTAAGCAGCATTGTCATTTTCCTTTTCTTTTTCTGACAGGCACACCTTTGCCAACCACACTGCCCACTACAAATTCAACAGAAACTACCATCGCTCCAAACTCAACCACAACTCCATCTTCTACAGTTAAACCAACAACCAAAATACCTCCAACTGTGGAGGCAACAGTCACAAGGAAACTGACTTTTAGGTCTCTTGGTGAGACCTTCACCACTGACTTGCTGAACCCATCATCTGCCGCATTTAAAAATCGAGCTGCACTTATAAAGTCAAACGTAAGTCTTATTTCGGCTTATAGTAAAATATTTCTCAAAGAGCTTTAACAAACAACACTTTCAAGTTGATATTTGTTGTGAGACAGAACCATAAAGCTGTACAAACATGTCTAAATTATTTTGTATTCAAAACATTAAAATTGAACAAAAGAAACAAATTTCTATACCACAGGAGTGCAAGGGTTGTTAGAAAAAAAACTCTTGCCCTGTATGGTGTAGATTTATTCCCTGATTTAGAATTAGAACATACTTTCTGGATCCTGAAATGGAAGCTATTTATTTGTTGACAAGCCTTTCCCATCTAAAGTGTCAAATACTGGTAAATATAAATAAAAATTTACGTGATATAAACATTTAAAATACAATTATAAGTGTCAAATTATGAATAAAAAAATTAACAACTATGTATGCTTTTATGGATATATTTGTATCTATAAATAAGTCCAGGGTAAATGTAATCTTAAACTCACTCAGAACTGGGTGTCATATAGTCTGATGACACTTTTAAAATATCAAATTATGATTCAAATTGTTTAGTTATACAATTATCCTTTAACCAACTTCTGTGGAGCCTTGTTGGTTAATTATTTATTTAAAGAAACACACTTTGTGATATGCAGAACAATAAATTGGTTAAAGCGATGTTTCTACAGTTTGTGAATTCACATTTTCCTTTAGCAAAAGTTAGTAATATCTAATATCAATGAAATACCACACATACACAAAAAGTCATTCTTTATCATGATTTTTTTTCCCAAACTAACATAGGAAAAATTGATATTTGATGTAATTTCAGGATTTGGATGAATGATACACATGTATAAAAATTTCAACTATAATTTAGAAAAGATTATTTTCTTTGTCTTCCTGCAGCTTGAACCGCTCTTCCAGAGAGAGTTTTCTACGTTACGCGACTTCATTGTAACTTCATTCAGGTATGATTTGCAGACAATTTTAAACATTGTTCAATATACACTTGGACAAATTAACTGATATTTTGTTTCATTTTTAGCAACGGATCAATTATCAACAACATGGACCTTAAATTTTCAGCAGCGTTTCTACCGACCAACATTCAAATTGCAGAGGTTTTGCTGAAAGCAGCTTCGAACGTCACAGCTTTCAACATCGACACCGCTTCTATTCTTGTGGATGACACACGTAAGATAAATTACATTCAAATAAAAATAAGTTAGCATTGTAATGATACAAAATCTGCTATATAACAGAGGAGCATTTTTTTTTTTTCAAATAAAGTCATGTGTCTTGTTTTCCTCACTTGCAGCGGTATCAAGTGGAGTAAGCCACAACATCAGCCTCATCACTGCACTCAGCATGGTCCTGCTGTCATGGCTTCTTTCAAACCAGCAATAACGTCTCTGCTGGTTTCCAGAGAATGATGTGCTGGAAAATATCAAATCTTACTGGTGTGAAGAAGGACATTGTAAAAATTTACTCACGACACTTTAAAACTTTAAAAACATTTATTGAAACTTGATGCTGTATAACAGTGACTGTGTTTATTTGGATTGTCAGTCTATTCAAGTTTGTTCCTATCAGTTCTTTCTTATTTATTTACATAAACTTGATTATTATGGTAAATTAATATAATTTATAATTTTGAAAGGTAACATGAAGGACTATTTAATGAATGACTATTTAGGTCAGAGACTGTTTAGCTAATCCTTAAGATTTCTCTCTCAATGAATATTGTAAAACTGTCTGATCAATGTCCCGTATGATTGTCTAGTTTTTCTTTTTTCTTTTTGTTATATTTATCACACATAAATATTCTGTACTCAGTATTCTGAAAGTATTTTGCTAATTTTCTTTTTTTTCTGTATGACTATCAATATAATAAAGGTAAACTTAATTTACCAGAATGTCAAGGTGAGGTGGTTGTTTTCTATATGGAGTCAGAGAGCAAAAAATGAAAGAAAAACAAAAATGTCCCTTTTTTACATGATGTTCAGCTCCAGATTGCAGAGCGCTTGGGGTTGAAATTTAGCCCGGGACTTGATTTTTATCTGTTTCTAAAACATAATCAGTGTTTAACGTACATGGATTTAATGACACGATTAAAAATAACAAAAGTTTATGAAAAAATCAGATTATAAAAATTAAAGCAAATTTAATGGAACAAAAAACAACCTCAACAGCTTCACAGAACTATTACATTATGAAGGGAAATTATTAATCTTTAAACTTTAAACACAACAGGACAACTATGTATAGCAATTTTTTTCAGATATATATATATTTTTAACTTTAAACACAGGCTTTCCCCTAAAAGGTTTTCTCTTACATTAAAGAAATTTTATTGGTCAGCCAGTAGGGACTGATTTTATTAATTAGCCTTACATGTGTAATTATCAATACTGTGTGTGCCCTGAACACAAACACAAACACATGGAGGCAATGATCGCTGACCTGCTGTAGTCCTGTTGCTTGGTCACCACTGACCTCCTCCACACACGGTTAACCCTAAAATGTGTAAATAGGCTGCATTTGCATGTGTCCTGCAGACACGTTTTGAGTTTTTCTGCCCCACCCACCTTTTTCTTCTTTCTTTTTGAATTTGAACGTCACAGTGCAGTTTTAGGTGAGCAAGATCACACCCCTACCAATGCTCAAACAACTACCTCCAACAACCACAGTAGCTCCAACAACTACAACAGTTACTCTAAAAGCAACCAGTGTCACTCAGTCAACTACTGGTACAAGAATAGCCACAATTTTGAAAAAAAAACAACAAAAAAACAAATACATCTTCCACTGTTGCCCAACCAACTACCACTAAGAGAGCAACCACAGATGTTCCAGCCACTGCTGTGGATGCCAGGGCAACTATGGTTGCACTTAGGCAAGTTATAAAGGTCTTACTTTATTTCGTGCGATCACTTTGAAATGTATTTGCATCATTTCCTGTGCTCGTGTAAAACTCCCTTTATTCGAGAAAATGGTTCTACTTCTGTTCAGAACAAGTAAAAAATATGTTCTGAACAGGGAGTTACTTTTGACAAACTTTTGTGTCAAGAAGTGGGATTTCATTTTTGCATGCTGGGAATTGAGAGTGCTCAAAATTTTATTATCAAAATTGTGGCATTTTATTAATATGATCATATTTGCAGTCTATGAATGTGGTTGAAAGTGGGGAAGAGACCTGGCAGTGTTTTGATGATGTTGCACTTTCCCACATAGACGGGGCATAGAAAGCTGGCTGAGTGCACACAAAGTGAGTTTTAATGCCCTTGACAGATACCAAAAAGTTATTGTAATTATTTAATTTACGTTATTCTTTATCCTTTTCATCCACACACAATGAATTAATACATCAATAGATAAACAATATTTGGTTTACTGTAAATGGTAAGAACAGGAATTCCTCAGGAACATTTCGCTGACTAATGAAATCAAACTTTATTTTCCTTTAGCTGTACTCTACCCAATAGAGAAAATAAAAGTGTTTCTCCAGAATCCAAACAGTTAAAAACATCCCCATCAAGATCCACCCCAACACACACATGCACAAACACACACGCATACACACACGCACACACACATCCTAAAGGCATGCCAAATAAAGTTACAGTAAAATAATACTTAAAAAATATATTTTTAATTAATTTACAAATAAAAAAAACATATTGCAGAAAAAATATAATAGTTTAAGAAACAAAACAGCTGATATAAAACAGGAATGAATTGTTTCTTTTGACACCGTCAGTTTTGAACAAGTCAAAACAGAATGCAAACCTCAACACTGAATGCAAAGTAAAATGCAAAACTGCATTGCTGTTTTGTTTTCAGCTGACATAATTTTCCTATGTCCCTGTTCTGTGTTTCTGACTTGACCACAGGAATTATAAAGCAGCAGAAGCAATTTTATGACAAACAATAAGATTGTATAAGACTATATGTACAAAACAAACTGTTATACTATTGTTTTTTTTTTTTGTTCAACTTTGTTTTCTAAAGTTTCTTAAGAAAAATTAAGTCTTAAGTGTACAAAAATATTGTGTAAACAAAATGAAGCATAGACATGAATACAAATTGGAAGACTTTCTTCAGCCACAGCATCGGAGCCCACCTCAATAAACTCCATCTATGACTCCATCTGTTCACCAGCAGAGCTTCAACCCAGCTCCATCCATTCTTCTCCACCCTTGTCCTTCCATCTTCTTCAGACTGCCATCTTCTCCTTAGCCTCCTCCGCCAGTGTCCGGGCTCTGAGGGGAAAGACATCTCTAATCCTCATCCTAAGCTGCTCATCCACGCCTATAGCATTTCATAGCGTCCATATCTTCTGCCGGACGCCATAACTTTAATCCATTCATGTTCATTAAAACTTTCTAACTGCAGCTTTGTCTTTGTGTTACTCATCCAGTTTTGCTGGGTTTTCCATTTACTTGACTTAGGAAACATTTCTATCAGGACTCTGGGTTCTTGGGTTGAGATCCAGTTGAGGACAAGCAACTGGTGAAGGTGGATATTAACCTTTCCTTTCACCCAGGAAGAAACCTAAGGGGTAGTATGAGAGACAGAACAATTAAAAAAGAAAATATATTTATGTTTTTAAGTTAATAATTAAAAACATTCCATGAATAGGAAGCAGCAGAAGGATATGTCAGAGTGGGGGAAATTATTAATATATTTTCAAGCAGCAGGAACTTACAAATATTACAACCTAACCTGATCTATGTGAACTATAAGTGCAGTGAAAAATACAGATTTTATGCCCCAAACTTCAAAGCCGAAACTGTGAGTACTTCATAAGCAACAACTGGGAGATCTATAAAAAACCAGAACATTGAATCTGGAGGTTCTGATGCTGAGCAAGCATCAGGTGACAGTGGGGATGACTATCTCAATCTAACAGAAGAAAACCTCCAGCAGTATGAGTCTGACAGGAACAAGACATTAAACAACACTGGGCCACACGTCTCTGTATGGAAACTGATCAACCACATATGGTGAAGCTGGAGAGTGTGATCTGAAGACAATATTCAAATATTTTCAGGTGACTTGCAAGAAACTTGTTTGAATAATGGCTGTAGGGAGAAAGTTATTTTTGTCCAAGTTACATGAGGGGTATTTATATTGGTGCCTCTGAGAGTTTGGCCATTGTTTCACTGGACAGAGAAGAATCTGAGCAAGGAAGCCAAGTGTCTATTGATTAAGTAATTATTTCCAAACATTTGTTCATCAATGAGGTCTAGATAAGAGAAATACTAGTAAAAAGACATTAGCATATGTCAAAAACATTTCAGCTTTTGTTTTTGGTGAGTACTTTTGTTCATTTAGTTCCACACTGTACATATTTTTGTATCAAGTTTGTTTAGAACAATATTGTTTGAGCTTCGACTTTAATATGTAAACGAGGACATGGAAATCTCCTAGTTGGAGATGCAGAATTAGCTATTTATTGTTAATGTTTAATTAATCTTCATCATCTTTGTTTTTGTTTTTTTACTCATTTGTAGGTTTAAATTTAAACATGTTGATCACGTCTAACCAGCAATACTTAACTCTGGAACTGTGAATTGCTGCAGAATACACAGTTCCAGATTGAGTATAATTAACAGTTAATTAAACACAATTTAATCACTTATATTTTGTTAATTATATTTTTCAAGTGATCGACTCTTCTGGGTTTTTTTAAGCAAACATTTGCCCACTCTCACTGCGACCTTTGTTCATAGCTATGCCATGATTCTGAGTGCTTAGTTTTTCATCTATATTTTTGTATTTTGATGAGTTCCTTGTTAATCTGCTTCATGTTTGAGTTTATAACTCATGAAAAATGTCCCAATGCTCACACTGCACTCTATCCCTGTCTGTGAAGTCTGTACTCAGTCGAAGTGCAATAAGTGTACAAAACTGCACAAAAATTGGGACAACACAAAGTTGTGTAATTATGTTATTATTACGTCTTTGTATGGAAACTCACCAGCCACTATTGTAATGCTAGAAAGTTTGACCTGAAGACAATACTCAAATATTTTCTGGTGACTTACAAGAAACTTGTTTGAATAATGGCTGTAGGGAGAAAGTTATTTTGTCCATGTTACATAATGGGGTATTTATATTGGTGCAACTGAGAGTTTGACCAATGTTTCACTGGATACATAGCGGGATACAGAGCAAAACTGTATCCCCACTTAAAATTATATCACTACTTTACATTTGAATCTGCCTTTTCATTCAAAACGTCACATGCAGCAGTGAATTGAGGGGGAAACTTTTCACAAAAGTCTGGTTGGATGTGGGCAGAAACAAAACAAGTAATGTCCAAATTTAGGCAAAGAAGCTAAGCCTCCAACAAGAAGGTGCTGAAAATGTTATTGTTTTACTCGATAGTCTCCTATGTTGTCCTCTTTTTACAATATATTAAGTAATCAAAACTCCAAATTAAGTCAAATGTTTTATAAAACTGTAGTAATTTGACAGAAAAGGTGAGAACGATTCCATATACCTTAAAGTCAAACACATCTCTTATAATGTGAACTAAATTCTTGTACAGCTTTAGACTAACTAGTCAGAAAGATTAATCTACAGAAGAACCTCAGTTTATCAGTGAATATTTTTCTTCTTTATATTTGGGTGGTCTAATCCAAACGTTTTGCATGCATGTTTTGCATGTCATTTGCCTTTCTGATTTCAAGGCAAACATGAAAATATTG